CGGTTGTGTAAATAAATATTTATTGAGGGGGCAAATAGCAAATTCTCTTGACCAAATGTCGTCATCTGAAATTGACCATATTGTCCCCGTAATATAAGGAGACACGAGCGTAAGGCCAGGACAGAAATGTCTTCAACTTAAAAAAGCCACTAGGGCGCAACTCCAAATGCCAACTGGCCGTGGGAGAACCGGACCGTCTTTCGATTTCCAATTTCTCTCTCTCTCTCTCTCTTTCTCTCCTCTATCTCTCTCTCTCATTTCACGGTCCGAGAAAGCGAGCAATCAGATAATCGTCGTCCCTGAATTCGTAAGTTCTCCGATTTCTTCTTTGATCCTGTTGATTTTTTCAGCTAGATTACGTCCACGAGCTTATTTGCTTTGATTCTATTGAGAAAGTTTTGCGTGATTTCAATCTAAAGCTAAAGCACGGACTAAATTGAGAGAATAGGGATATCGAAAGGAAAAAAAAATTGTGCTGGTTTCGATCACAATTCCTCTTTGATGGAGGAAATATGGGGAAGTATTTTCTTTGGTTGCTGAGAAACTGCAACGCAGATTGGAGGTCACAAGGATTTTAGTTCAGGTCTGTTGGAGATTGGAAGTCATCCTAGCTGAATAGATGGGGATCCATGCAAATTTGTTTTTCCGAACGGAAATTTTTTGTGCATGGGATTGTTAAACGTCTGGCTATGGATATAACTAAAGAGTTGTAATTTGTTTTACTTTCTTCAAGATTTTGATTTTTTAGCAATAGCAACAAGCAGCTGCATGTGTAGCAAACTTATTGTTTATTTGTTGGACATAATGAGCGCTCTGATGCATATGTGATGCACATTACAAATGTTGTTTTAGGGATTGGACATATATAAACGATGGCCTGCAGAGGGTGCTTCGAGTGCCTATTGAAGCTCCTGAACTTCCTCTTGTCCCTTCTGGGTCTTGCGATGGTGGGCTATGGGATTTACTTGTTGGTTGAGTACTCGAGATCTTCCAGTGATATTCCAAGTCCTCCGTTGAGCGGTGATCATGATCTGGTACAGCTTGGTCGACCAATGCTAATGGCTGTGTCTCTGTCCTCTAACGTCTTTGATAACCTTCCAAAAGCATGGTATGACTTTTCGTTTTAGGTATAAACACAATGCCTCTTGTTGCTTATTATGGCTGACTGCACTGTAGTCAGCACATGTATTCTGGGTAGTAAATAATGAAGGACATTGAGCTTTCATAAGTAGCTCATTGGTTTGGTGATCATGTGTTATCCCTCTAGGCGAGGAGCTTGAGCCCCATAATCCCCCCTTTCTCCCATTTTGTGGTGTAAGTTGGCTTTAAAAAAATATACAATCCAGTAGGTCGTATTTTGTTAGATTGGAGCCCCTCTATCTAGGTTTGGTTGGCTCCTTTTGCTTGGGCTTTTTTTGTTGCCCCTCATCTATTCTTTCATTTTCATCTCAATGAAAGCCGGATGGCGGGTACCTTTAAGAATACAAAACACACACACACATAACGGACATTTAATCCTCCCTCGATTGTCACGTGATAGGAATGGGAGGTAGATGGTTAAACGTTTTGGAGTTTAGAAAGCATTGAACATACGAAATTGCTGGATTATTGCTTCAATAGATTTTAATATTTTTTATTGCTAACGTGAACTTGAGCCAGTTTATTGAAAGTCTCATCCAAATATAGGAACTGGTATACATGTTGATTTACAGTCTACTTAGAATGCAATGTAAGTATTGCCCGGAATACAATTACTTGATATGGAAAAATGGCATGCTATCTTCAGAAGTACTAGATGTGAGTCATGTGACATCCGTGTCTTCTTTACACTCTATCTAATATGTTTATTTGAAAGGATTCTATTCCTCAACCTTCAGGCAAGCAAATTCCATTTTAGCAGCCATAGATGAATATGGATATTTGTGGCATCTGCTCAATCAGTTTCTTTCTTTTAATTTTTTTGCAGGTTCATATACTTGTTCATTGCTGTTGGAGTAATTCTCTTTGTTGTCTCTTGTTTTGGGTGTATTGGAGCTACAACACGTAATGGATGCTGTTTAAGTTGTGTATCCTATTCGCCTGCAGAGTTGTTTGATTTATGAATTAACAATGATATAACTAGGCCACCAGTGAACAACACGTTTTCTTTGGGATATTACACTCTGTCCATCATGAGATGGTGACCATAAATATAACACAACATACGATACATACAGTTGAATCTTAAAAAGTTGGCACTAATCTTTATTTGATTTCTCTGTTACTGTATCCTTAATGATCACAGTATTCAGTTTTGGTGCTTCTACTGATTTTGTTGCAACTAGGAGGTGCAGCCTTCATATTCTTTGACAAACACTGGAGAGATGTGAGTGTTCACAAACTAAACCTGAACATTTTTTAGTTCATTTGCTTATTCTTTTTTATTCTATAGGAAATTCCTAGAGACAAAACAGGAAACTTTGATAAGATCTATGAATTCCTGGACGACAATTGGGATATGATCAGATGGGTTGCATTGGGAGCTGTCACTTTTGAGGTAGGTGAATCTTTTTCTTGCAGTATTTGAATCTGAGACCAGCATGGAATTTGGACATCATTGGTAATAGTGCGTACTGCCTATGTGCCGATGTTAGTATGCATCAAACACCATACATCTTGCTTTTTATGAAACAGATTGACATGTTGCTTGCTCCCGAAGTTCTGTCAGCAAGAATGTGTACTTTTACACCCTTCATCAAATTGTAGAGATCTGACTTATTATTATTTTAATCTCTCTTGAATTTTGGATTACAGCACGTGTTTAACATGCGGTTGATAGGTTTTTTTAACCCAGATTTGCGATTTGCGTAAAAAATTCATTTTAATATTTTCGCTTTGTTGATTTATTTATTTTTTTTTATATAAGAGACGATACTTTCATTGAGAAGAATAAAAAGAGAAACAAAAGAAACCAAAGGGGCCTACCCCGAGAGGAGTCCCTTATAGAAACAGACTCCAATCCAAAAGAATGAGACCTAACGGATAATTACAAAAGGCCTTAGAAACAGAGCCCCGTAAAGAAGTATTAAATTTAATGAGATCCCAATTGATTTAATAACCGTCTACTTTCCCTAAGCCACTTAGGTTCAAACTCCCATTTACACAATGAGATAGCCATGGGTTTTGCTCTGCACTGATTATAAATCTCTCTCAATGATAACAAAATTTTCCACCCTGTAATATTAATTTTCCATTGTATTTTCAGGCTCTCCTTTTCCTGTTTGCTCTTGTGGTTCGTGCTGCAAACAGACCTGTAGACTATGACAGTGATGATGAGTACATTGCTCCAAGGCAACAAATCCGACAACCATTGATCAATAGGCCTGTGGCTCCTGCGACAGGTGTGCCTGTTGCTGGGACACTTGATCAGCGACCAAGCCGAAATGATGCTTGGAGTGCACGAATGAGGGAAAAGGTATGGATGTTTTCTAGGTAGAATTTTGCCACTGAAGATAATGAGCAGGACAATAAGTCTTTTATTTATTTTCTTGATAATTGGGAATCGGAGCTTTGCTCTACTAGAGGCACCTGTGCCGTCCTTTTCCTTTCCTTTCCTTTTTTTAGTACAACAAATAGAGATTTGGACTTCTAACCTCACAAGGAGTAGTATGGAGTAGTTGTCATTTACCGCTGAGCTAGGCTCATCTTGGCTCTTCCTTTCCTTTTATTCTTGCATTTATAATAAAAAACTGATACTAGGGCTTTTCATGACTCTTTATCATGGTCTGTATTTAATTAAACATTCTCTTGGAAGATGTATGCATAGCTCATATGATTATGTGTATACATTGTTGTTGCTCTTGAAGTGGCCCAATAAAGCTTAGCTGATCTGATCTTATTACTACAGAATCAACTTGACTAGTCTTTTTGTTCCTCTTAGAATTTTAAGTGATATCTTTGTGCTTACCACTCACGCTGATCAAAACTAAAAACAGTTGACTTCTTGATTTTAAGTTCTCTGCAATATTTTGATGTCATTATTGGTTGATATCGAGCTAAAGACAGCGGAGCCCAACTTATCTGAATGATTAATTCAACTTTCGATCTTTAGATGTTATGCATATCGTATTTAGACATTTGTCTAGCTTCCTGCTTGGGAAGGTATTTCTCGTCTTGCATGTTTTAATTCTTCCCTTAGTAGTTAGTAATGAAATTCAGACTTTAGATTTGAGACCAAAGTTTCTAGTATTTTATTTGTGCCATACTTTTACAACATATCATGGTCAAGTAGTGACTCATCAACTGTTCTACCAATCTTCTGAAATATGTTTAGAGCTCTTATTTGGAGGAGTTTTGTGTTGGTAACTTCTGTCACAGACCATGAACTACTTCATGTATGATCTGATGGGCATATTCTTTTGTCAATATGCATTTGATGTGATGTTTGTAACTTCTACATAAATTTTGATTCTGATGTTGCTGTTCTTTTCCTGTTGGAAAACAGTATGGGCTGGATACTACCGAGTTTACATACAACCCGTCTGAATCTCACAGGTTTCAGCAAGTTGCCGCACAGCCAGTTGAAGAAAAGAGCCGCTGCACCATCATGTGACAAAGTATGTCTTGTATTATTTGTTTCTCGCTCGACTGTAGTGTTTTAGCGGGTCGGTTGTTTGTTCCGCATGTGTATAACCAAGAGGTTTTTTCGGAGTCTGTACTTGTGTAACCTGAACTTTTCATAAGAAAAAAAGTTGTGACTATCTGTTGTGTGAAAACCATTCTCCTACGTTTGAATTTTCTTTTTGTTCAAGATGGATGGGTCAGCATAGGACCTAAGAAAATGATTGTAAGCTCCGTCGCACTTGGGAAATGACTGCTTTCTTGAATTTACTTTTCATTGTGTTTTTGGTCCAAGTAGTATTTTTCGTTGTTATAGCCTCTGCTCTCCTCGAGTCCTTTCAACCTTGTGGGACGTCTTGATTTTTATTCAATATCTTGCTTCCTCAGCTTTAAATCATCTATTAGGCCACTCTTTGGAGCTCTGTTTCTGATTTATTCTGTGTACAAAGAATGAGAACTTCAACCACCATTTTTACTAAAGATGTTTACAAGAGGCTAATAGAGCCCTCTGCGGGTGTTTGAGTTCGTTCGTAGTTGGGTTCGATACTATAAGTTTGTTATTCTCAAGCTATCGGATTTTCTGATTAGCAACAATTTTCCAATGGGTTGATGAAGTGGAATCAGCCTATGTTCTTCTCATGGTTAAATGGGATTGCTTGAATAAAGTGATGCAGAAAAGGCTGTAAAACAGGTGGAGTTGGGTAGGGTTGGTTGCATCAACTTTGATCAACTTCTTCAAATGGGAAATTTTCAAGGGAAAAAATGGGTACAAGAAACTGTCACTCTCATTGGTTATAAAGAAGACTTTCAGGGTGCATTCCATTTGTCTTTCATCTCCATAACCTCACTTTCAAAACATTATCTATGGAGATTCTGAAGATTTTGGCGGTTGTAATATTTGGTGTGGTTTTGTGTGGAATTGAAAGTTTAGGCGATGGAGAACATCTAGTTTTTGACTATTACAAAGAAACATGCCCTTTCGTCGAAGATATTGTTCGGCGACAGGTCGAGATTGCTGTGCTCAGAGATCCTCGAATGGCTGCTTCACTCCTCCGCTTGCATTTCCATGATTGTTTTGTTATGGTATACCTCTCTCTTGTTTTTGAAAGAGAAATATAGATTATTAGACTTAAAATCGTTGTTATTAGGGGTGTGATGCATCAATTCTTCTGGATAGCAATGAGGAGATGGTGAGCGAAAAACAAGCGGCTCCGAACCTTAACTCTCTGCGCGGGTTTAACGTCATTGATGAGATCAAGTACATACTGGAAGAAGCTTGTCCTCGTATTGTTTCGTGTGCTGATATTTTGACCATTGCAGCACGTGATGCTGTCTTGCTCGTACATAATCTCTCTGCTATTTCTTTTCTTATCTTTTCTCCTTCCTTCTATGTAAATGCTATTTTCACTCGTCATTAAAATTACGACTAGATTCAAAAACTTATTTTCATAGGTTAGTATAAATCTAATAATCTTTTTACTATACTCAGCAATATTCCTAGTACGACATATGGGTTAAACTCTTAACTTCCTATACTATATCAAAATGAATACATCAATTTTACCTTTTTTTTTTTTCCTTTTTCCTAAGCAATAGTATGTTGAATTACTATTGTTTTGTTTGAGAAGAGAGGAGGACCTGGATGGGAAGTTTTGCTAGGAAGGAAAGACTCTTTGAAAGCAAGCTTTGATGGAGCCAACAAATACATCCCTTCTCCAAATGCCTCTCTTGAGACCCTCATTGCCAATTTTCAACAACAAGGCCTTGATGTGGGAGACTTGGTTGCTCTTTCAGGTCAGTTTCTCGTGGATTAAAGCTCACTAGATATAAATCTATAATAGGCTAACTTTAGCTCTCATTCTACTTCTCAACCAAATTTATGTTTCAAAATCCAATCTAAATGAGTACTTTTTTCAAAACAAAATATCACATCATAAAGCTCATTCAATCACACCCATAAATAACTTATTACGTTGTACTTCTATTACAACTCACCCACGATAGAACTAATTGACCCCTGTTAAATCATCCAAATTAAGAGAGTAACTCAACCTTAAAAAGACGTAAATTTCCATCCACTTATTGCAATACACTAACACCTAAAAGGGCTTGGAACTGTGAGAAGGAAGCCACACCATAGGAAAAGCAAGATGCTTGAGCTTCAGACAAAGAGTATACCAAAAGAACCCAGAGGAAGAACATGACAGATACAAGGGGCACAACACATACAGAAGAGTTTTAAGGTCCATATGCCCTAAAACAGGGCAAGACCAGAGGATTGCACCCTTAGATTTTGGGACACCAGCAAGATTTGACAACCACTACTTCCTCAGCATTCTTCAAGGCAAAGGGCTTTTGGGGTCTGACAATGTGCTCATAACCCAAGACTATGAAGGTGACATAAGAAGACAAGTTTGGAGCTATGCCTCTGACCAAACCCTTTTCTTTGCTTCCTTTGTTAAGTCCATTGTCAAGATGGGGAACATCAATGTCCTCACTGCCCATCAAGGTGAAGTAAGGAAGAATTGTAGGGTTACCAATTACTAAGGTTTCTCTTCGATTCATCTACAGTGGATATTTCAATCTCTCATTTGAAGTTTATTCCTTTTGTAATTTGCGTATTGTGTATATCATATCCTGAAAATGGATTTTGAATGATTACTACGTGCATTATTTGTAAATTTTCATATCCTACTCATCTTTGTTGGTAGTTTTTACAGAATTGATACATGTGTGAGATGATAATAAGCCATAAAACACCGATTTCAACCTAGCTTAAATAGTCAAACATCTTTTGTCTTCCTAATTAGTACTGGCGGAGTCTTCTTTCCCTACGTGGTATTTTGCATGAATAACAATTTTTTAAAAAAAATATATTATAAATATAATTACAAGTACAACTTTCATAGATTATTGATTGTCAATAGGAAAAAACTTTCCTCCCGAAGATTCAAGAGGCTCCTGCGTTGTCTAGTAACATATAGACAAGTGGACCACGTAAGAATTATGCAAAATAAAATAAAAAAAACTTGATATATGTGACATGAAGTCACGTGTATCGATTACCGATTTGAACATAGCTTAAATAGTCAAACATCCTTTGTCTTCTTTATTGACAAAGTCTTCTCCCCTACCGTGCAACCTTAGTAGATCATTGATTGTCAAAATATTTTAAATCGATATCTAGCTTAAATTAGTTATGAAAAGAAAAATACTTGGTTTCTCGTAATCAGAACTACAAATCATCATTAAATGTTTCACAGCCGGGAGAAATGCAAAAATGAAACTTTTTTCAACAACTACGTTAATTTTTCAATGGTGATTAGTGAAGAGCCGAATGTTTTCAAAATCAATAATTACGAATGCGGTTAAAAAAATATAGATTTTTTTTTTAAAATTAAAAATTGTGAAATGGGCTCAAGAGTCGGTTCAGAGGCCCACGCGATGATTTTTCTCGCGGGTCGGGCGATCCAAGAAACGGTGGAATCTGGTTCCGTCGGAAAATCCTCAGGCGAAGAGGCGAATGGCGACGGCTTCCGCGTCAGCTCGAAGCGGCAGAGATGGTACGGCCAAGGCCATGGTGGCCGATCACATTTCTCAGTCGGTACGATCCACTTCAAATCTCCTTCACCTGATGCAGCAATCGTCTCCGGCCCAGGCACGGCCCCTCTCTCTCTCTCTCTCTCTCTCTCTCGTATTTGATTTCCGAAGCTTTACAAGTTCGTTCAAATGGTGCTCTGATGAGTAGTTTTGATAGATGATAGCTGAATTTTTTTCGATTTATGTTTCTTGAGGTTCCTCTTCCTTCTATTTTCGAATTTTGAGGAAAGTTGATGGAAATCTTGAATTGTATGAATTGATGATTGAACTTCCTAAATTTACTGTTCATTGTATCTTTCTACAACATTTAGATTAAATTCATTGAGATATCATATGATATTATAAATAAAATTTTATAATACTGTACTGATATTTTACCGTGCGAGTATTGTTTGCATCGCAGTCATGATTTCAATTATCCCTACCTTGGACAATGGAATTGAAATTTAGCTCTGATTATTCTCTTCGAATTTTGTCGACGTGAGATGGATTCAACTCAAGTTCTAGTCTTATTGCTGAAATGGAACTTTATTTGGTATTTTCTCTTATTGCATTGCATTCAATTCAGTTTCTCATATAGTGTCGTCTTGTCTGCAGGCTCAGTTAATTAAGTTGCCAAAGAACCTTTTGGCGAAAGCGCCTGCTATAAAAAATACTGGGAAAGTATGTAGATTCGGTTAATAACCTGGACAAGTTCTTATTTTGTTTATTTATTTTTTATGAAACTTCTGAAAGCACTTTCATTTCTTCCTGTGATGCAGATCTTAGAGCAGATGCCGAAGGTGGTTTCATCCTTAGATGCATATGTAGAGAAGGGACTAGAAAGGTTCTTATTGTCCTTTAACATGCATTGATGGAACTAATTCTAATTATATTTTTAAATGTACAATCTCATGCGTTATTTCTTGGCTGAACACACCCATAATTTCTGCTAAAGTTGATGACAATTATTAACGCACATTATTAAATGATTTGATTTCCATATGTTGTGATAATCAACATTTTTGAAATTGTAATCAATCTACTTATTAGGAAATGGTCTTGTTCTACTCTGTTTAAAGATTTTTCTGAAGGAATTTCAGTTTAACCAATGGTTCTGTTTAATTTGGTTCTTCAATCTTCAGTCTAATTTTGTTTGATTCATTTCCAAACAATCTGAATATGAGTGGTCTGGTTTGGTTTTATTTTAAAATATTCACCTAATATATCTTTGTAGACCATTCAGAACACTTTTGATCGGACTGAGTTAAATTGGTTCGATTTGAACTGAGACAGTAGGGGAAGAAAATCCTGAAACTGAATCAAACTAGATAATTGAACCGGTCAGTACAGTTCCCCCCACCAGCCACATACAAACTGGATAAACCACGAAATCCCAAAAATCTTTGAATTATGGAATTCTGCTAATGCCAAATAAATGAATTTAAGCTACAATTCTTGTGCTACTTTAGAAATTGATGACATTCTTTTGGTTGATCCCAAGAAATTGATATCAATGAATGACATCCTAAGTCATCTATTTTTTTTTTGCACTTACGCGCAGAGGTTTAAGTTATCCATTGGGCAGATATTTCACAATATTGTATGTAAATGTATTACTGCTTTGTTGTTACTCTTTGGTTTATCCATCCACCAAATTACTTCTACTCATTTTAGTCGTGCCTTCGTAAGAACCAGTTCTATTTCTACTGATCAGTTTGGCTTCTGTATTGATTTACTTAATTTCAACTGTTTGCAGCATTCCTCGTTTGCAGACTGTTGTGCAATTACTTGCAAACATGGAAAGCTGCCAGCTGAAATCTCTCTCTCAAATCCAACACCCTCAAGAAGTTCAACTCCTCTCCCTTCACCCTCTATTTCCTTGGGTTGTCTTGTCATATAGTAGTTTGTTGCTCAATTTCTGATGTTTATCTCTTTCTCTTCCAGGAAATCGAGTCTCCTCATCAACTGAAAGATGTGGACTGACAGTTCTGTGCTTCTTAAACGTGTCACCTACATGTAAAGATAAGACCATCTCTAACCGTTTATCTTCTTGTCCTTTGTCTGAAGGGATGGTCTTATATGTTTGTTGTCTCAATTTCATTTGTTTAACTTTTTCCTCTTCACCACTGCACGACACGAATCAAAAAGTTGGTTCTAAATGCATTCTAAACCATGTTGCTAACTATGTAAAGAAAAGATAGTGTAAATGCCACATGTCCTTTTATCTTTTTGTTTTTTGGTTGAACAGAATGATGGGGTTCCTTAAATTTCAGAGTACCTCAAATCCTTGTAAGAATTTGCTTCTCCCTCCATCTTTGATGCTTTTGTGGGAATTTGTTTGATTTGTTGCAATCATATATATGATAGGACCATATGGCAATCATTCATAATTAAAGTATGTTTCGTATGTTCACTGGATGTGACCTGGAAACCAATCTCATCTTTGTTTTTGAAAGGATGTCTACTGATAAATTCTTTTGTGTTTTGTTTAATAATTTGATGCAGACCAATTTGTTTAAGTGTGAACTGACGATTACGTGTTGCATCAAAGTGAACTATGGTGAGTTTTGAGTTTTGGATAACTCTTGAGACTTGAGAGTAACACATTTAACTGGAAAAAAAAAACACATAATCGTGTTTAATTTAAAAAACACATTTAATAGTGTTATTATTATTATTTTTGTCATCTAGTTAAATGTTATAATCATTTGAAAACTGTTTTTAATTAGTTACTTCTTTTTTTCTATTTTATTTAAATGCATTTGTAGTGGACCATGCAAGAATTATGCAAAATAAAAAAAAATGATTGTCTATATACTATTGGACCATACAATAATTCAGGAGGGAAGTTAGGAAGTTTTTAATATTACATCACAGATATAGTCGTTTCAAAACTTTCATATTTTTATTTTTTTCTTTTTCTATAATAAAAAAACAGAATGGTGAGAATTGTGTCAGTTTCTTGTTTTTTTTTTCTTTATTTTCTATTGAAAAAAGAGTAAAAAATCTATTTGATATCAATCCCTTTTTTTTCCCTAAAATTTTTAAATTATGTAAAAGTAAAAAGTTTTATATGAAAGTTTATTTTTTAAGATTAAATATTAGTATACAGATAAGAATGGTAATGTCAGAAAGAGAGAGAGAGAGATGAGATTGCCAACAATTTCGAACGTGGGAAAGTGAGTTGATGAATTCAAATTTGTGAAAGTTTCGTAAACAAAATTAAAAAAAGAAAAAGAAAAAGGTGCTGACGTGGACGGCTTCTATTGTAGCAAAAAAAATCAAACTCATCTCTCATTTCCATCTCTCTGCCCTATCACGTTTCCAATGAATTTTCTTTCTTTTTCATTTTTTAAATATTTATTCTCATTCTAATAATGACATCTGACAATTTTATTCAACCCATTTCAACTCTCCCAAAAAGCCATGACGCATGCTTCTGAATCAAATATTTTAAAATTAAGTTTCCAATGCAATTTTAATTTTAGTTTAAGTTGAATTACCAAAAAAAAAAAAAAAAAAGTCCTTAAACTTTGTTTATTGTTTCAAAGACGTCTTTACCATTACAAAAGTGTTTATAAATTATTAATTATTATGTTCTAAATTTTGTTAAGGATATATATTTTTTATACATTTATGGTATTTTTTAAACATTTATGGAAGGTTAAGGTAGTATTGAACCAGGGATAAAATTTGGTTTTTTTTTCTTTTTTTGGTAATTTAGTCTTTAGTTTACCCTAAAACAAATAAAGACAAAATTTTAATTAATTTTTTTTATAGTTTTTTAAAGATAGCCAGCTCAACTAAAAAAGATAAGTGATAGATCCAGTCATCTTTTTCCTTATTTCCCTCTTCTTTTTAATTTATTTATTTTTATCATATGCATAAAATTTGGTTCTATTATTTTAAAGGAATAATTAGCCTTTTTCTACTACCTTCATTAATAATAAAAAAAAATATTGTTGTTACGGTCATCTGATAATTTCTGCCGGCCGTTGGAACTTATCCGTTCCTTCAGAAAAGTTTGATTTATGATTTAAATGATAGTGGAGGATATAAGCTATCTAAGAATATTATATATATGTTTTATACAACTTTTGTTGGCCATTGATAATCAAATATGAACAAATTTATCGAAATGAAATCCTATAGATTTCTTTACCAAATTAGTTAGTGTGTATGAATGGTTTATAATTACCCAATTAACATTTATTTATGTGAACTAATTATTAGGAATATATCATTACTGTTTCAATAATTAATAAAAATGCGCAGTTATAAATAAGACAAAAAAATTTAACAAAATAACAAATTTAGCATCTACATTTTAGATTTGCAAATATAGCAAAAAAAAATTTAGAAAAAACGGAGGTCCAATAATAAAATGTCAAATTTACCCTCGTAGCATTGATATACTATTGATATAACACTGAGAAATATATATATATATATATATATATATATATATATATATATATATATGATATACTTGATATATATCTTATTTACTATTGATATTCAACTGATATATCATTAATATAACTATAATGTCTACTAATATAACTTCTTATATGATTATATTATTTACTATTTATTGATTTACCATTAATATTATGTGTAATATATTATTGATATACCACTGATATAATACTGATATACAATTGATTTACTTCTGATATATCTATGATATCTACCAATATAACTTCTAATATGGTATACCACTGATATACGTATGATATAACTATGATTTTTACTGATATAAGTTCTTATATAATTATATAATTTACCATTGATTTACCATGCTGATATATGTTATATCTGTAATATATATTTGATATGTCTTTAATTTACCACTAATACAATTATGATATTTACTAAAATAACTTCTCATATGATTATATGATTTAACACTAATATAAATTTGATACATCTATGATATATACTTAATATGTCTCTAATTTACCATTGATATAACCATGATATCTACTGATATCTAACATTGATGCATCTGTGATCTACATTTGATGTATATCAGAGAAAGATCAGATGTACATCTGTAGATCGAAAGTATATCAGATATAAATCCATCGGACGTATATCCTATATACATCCAACGGACGTATATCAGATATCATGAGGGTAAAACTGGAATAATACAAATTCCAAAAATAAAATTCAAATATTTTACCATATTTGCAAAACACAAAACTGGTTGACATTTTTGTAAATATATATAAAAGTTTAGCTACCCAATAAAATTTCCATAATAAAAATCATCCAACCTAACTAAATTTTTATTGAGGGTCATAATTAAGTAATTTAATCAATATTCAATATTTAAATTAACTTTAATATTCTGTGGAAATGAAGAAAGATGATAGCAATATAGATTAAGACGCACATGGAAAAAAATGATGATAAGCTTATCATGAATATCGTTTTGGATCGATGATATATAGCTTAACGAATATCAAATTTTTAATTTTATTCGATGATGAGCATCTTAAACCTACGTACGTGTTATACTTATTAGTCGATCATTACTTTTTTAACAAACTTATTTAGAATCTAGTCGGTTGTAAGTCTTCCACTCATACGGTATTGATTCCATTGCATATTGACCATCGACGAAGTAAAGCTACCTCACTACCATGGGATGCTATTTAGAATAATTTGTGACTATGACTAAAACACATATAAGTGTAACACCTAGGTCGGAGTTATTTTAAGAGGCATTTACATAAATATCATAATCTAAATAAAAGCCTAAATTCAAAATGTAATGTATAGCTACACATATACTACATCTGACAAAAAATTAAAAATCATGACGATTTTTAAGAATGCATATCCAAATGAAATTTCTCTTGTCTCTAATGGTGCAGAAATCCAGAATTAATTAAAAATATATATTTTACTTCAAATAAATCATAGGTAGTTTACAAACTTAAATATGGAATATTATTATATTTACGGGGTTTCATCTCGGTGTATATATTATGAATTGATGCTTGTTTGAACTTATTTAACTTTTGATACCATATTTAATATTCATGAAGTTTCATCTCAAAACCAATCGACCAAATAAAAATACTAACATGTACATCAGAAACATTTGTTAGGTTATTTATCTTTTACTGGATAAATTTTTTTTTTCAAAATGTTCAAACTTACTAATAAATACCCTTGAAATTTGAGATTTGTTCCAACAAGTCTCTTTACATTTTGAAAGTATCCAATAAATTCGTGAATTTCAACGTGGCATTTAAATGTGCCATTAAAATTTAAATTGTTTAATAAATCTACCAACCTTCCCTTTCATATTTTGATAGGCCATTGAAAGTCTAGAAATGAGGGCACAGACTTTGATACACATTAAATTAATGAACAGAAAAACAAATATTTTTGTAGACCTTTTTCCTCGAGGATTATCCGCGCATCATATTAAGGTAAGTACATTATATATATATATAAAAAGGAAAACCCCCACTTTATCGGGATGGGTCCCTCACTCCGATCACGTCCATCCCGTTGTCATCCCTAATTGTAATATAAAATTTTTAACGATTTAGTGTCCAATGTGAAGCGTCGATTTTTATAATATAATAATAATTATTATGTTTTTATAATTTATAAACACACTTGCTCAATTTATCATATGTACTTTAATAAATCTTAACGAATTTCTTTTACAAAAGTTTAAGTAATTAATTCGTTATAAATAGATGAGGATGGAAGTCATTTTTTACAAGAGAGGGAAAAAAAAAAGAAAGGAAAAAGCGAATAACTTCGCGTTTAACGACGTCGTATCGGGTGCCTGATGTGACCCTTCTTCGCCGGAATAAGATGCCAAAATTTCCTAATTAGCGAGCCGCTGCGAGAAAAGATAAATTTTCCGCAGTGCCGCCATTGATATATATATATATATATATATATAGAAGGAGCTCAGAAGGCGTTGCTTCTTCGTCATCCACTGAAGCTGCTCAATCCTTGCCTTTTCTGCGGGGCTTAACCCTAACGAGCTCTCGCTGAAACGGAGATGGCTTCTGTGGCGTTGACTCTGCCTTCTTCTTCTTCGTCGTTGTCGTCTCTGTCCGCTGCTGCCTCTCTCGACCACAGAGCGTTTGTGTCTAATCAGTATCGCTCGCGAATGTGTTCCAGTGGCGGAGTTGTATGCCTCCTCTCACTCTGTCTTTTCTTTTTGAGATGCATGTTGTTTGTTTGGGTGTGGACTTTCAACTCTGTGAGTTTAATGCAATGCCGGTGATTCGTGATGTTGCGCTTGATTCTGGATTTCTTTTGGTTTTCTGTTGGATTTGGTAAGAATTTGAGATGCTTTTGGGAGTGGAAAAACGAGATGGATGATTGGAAATGTTAAATATAATTGTTTTTATTTCTTGTTTTTGTTTTTCATTGTTTGTAGTGAGTTGTACTTATACTATGTTTCGTTTTCGATGATAATTACTAGAGGGGAAACTTTTGTGGTTTTGTTTTTTCTCCTCCGTTGTTTCTAATAGTTCTGGTTCTAATAGCTTTTTCTGGTAAAAGTTGTCACTATCTAAGTCTATTGCATGTACTCTAATGTTCGTTTCTTTTCCCTTTTTAACTTAATTCTGCCAGAGATTTGATCTGCCCGAGTCTCTGAAGCATGTGAATGGGAAACCAACAATTCCAGTTGTTAGTGAACGGACGCTGCCCAAGTTCTTGGAGTCGGCTCGCATGGAGAAAAGAGTTAATAGAAGTAGTACGCGCTTGAAATTGTTTTCTGGCTCTGCAAATCGTTTACTTTCACAGGTTTAGCCTTTTCTAGTGTACTCGTGAAACGTTTTTCACTCTACAATGGAATGGAAGTTTTATGTATATTATAACTTTTCAAATGACTGTTCATTAGTCACCAACAAGCTGGCGTAATTTGTGGTGGGGTTTTCTTTTTCTCGATTGCTAATCTGATTCTTGTTTGTTTTCAAGTCTTTGGATGGAGGGGGTTTGAAAGGTTTTAATAATTATGTCTTGGTCAATGGCTGGTCATACTTTTCGTCTTGTTGGTTTACTCGAAGTGAAATTTTCACTGGCTATTGTCTAATCACTTAACTTACTTAATTCGTGAGCAAGATTTGACTTTACATTCTATATTTTAGTTGCCTTTACTTTTAGCCAATACTCTTTAATTGTCTAGATATGATTGATCTTTACACTTGATGTTGCTTATTTAAGTATATCATCACATTTTCATAATGGTGCAAATGATTTTCAGTCGGCATTCAATGAATTCAGTTTATTCTCCTACAAAATTTTTTGATGATTTGGTTGAACTTGTGGGAAGGTGGAATGATAGAGAGATTTTTATATTTATACATTCGGAGCATCAATGTTGTGTTTTGTTTTCAATTAAAGTGTCTGACAAGGTTGAGTGGTTTTGTCTATCAAGGTCTTCGGATTGAAAAACATCCTTAGCAGCATGCAAACATGGATCTATCTTTTTTTGGAGGCCAATCTTTGTTTGCCAAATTGAGTTGTTTACTTCTCAGGAAATTGCCTGTTACATGGGGCTGGAACTTGGAAAGATCAACATTAAGCGGTTTGCTGATGGTGAAATATATGTTCAATTGCAAGAGAGTGTTAGAGGATGTGATGTATTCCTAGTACAGCCCACCTGCCCCCCAGCCAATGAGAATCTCATGGAGCTTTTAATTATGATAGATGCTTGTAGGAGAGCCTCAGCCAAAAATATTACTGCTGTGATTCCATATTTTGGATATGCTAGAGCGGATAGAAAGGTAATCTTTTCAGCTGCATATCTTTATAACCCATGTTTAAGGTATTTGGCAGTTCGATTCTTCTGATTTTTTTAAAGTTTGAATAGAAGAGAAATAATGAGCACATACTCATTTACATTGGATTGATTCGGAGTATTATTGCACAAAATTGGTTCCAGTATTTGATGTTCAACTGTATTTAAAATTTTTCATCAGACTCAAGGGCGTGAATCCATTGCGGCCAAGCTTGTTGCCAACATCATTACGGAAGCTGGTGCAAATCGTGTTCTTGCTTGTGATCTTCATTCTGGGCAATCCATGGGTTACTTCGATATTCCTGTGGATCATGTAAATTGCCATGTAGGTTCATTCTAGTTTTCATTGCCACTACCACTAATTGGAAATATTGGATCTTTGCTAAATTTTGTGTTGTTTTCATCTACTTTATAGCCTGTGATTCTCGACTATCTTGCCAGCAAGAGGATTTGTTCTAGTGATTTGGTAGTGGTTTCTCCTGATGTTGGAGGAGTTGCCAGAGCACGTGCTTTTGCTAAAAAGCTGTCTGATGCACCTTTAGCTATAGTGGACAAAAGGCGCCATGGTCACAACGTTGCTGAGGTAGTTTCATAATACTATCTGTGGCTACAATGTTATTTTATTTTCAGATGTATTCTCTCGTGAACTCAGTAAAATATGCACCAAAACTATTTGAACTGAAATCCATTATCTGATTCACATAATTTGGAAGAAATGTGCCATAATCGATTCTCCATACAGGGAATTGATATTCTGATGTTTTGTTGGGTTCATTAACGGAATTTTACTTATTGTTTTTTGATCAACAATATGTAGACTGCTCTGTTGAAACACCAGAGCTTCCCCTATTTCTTCAGAAGTTAACCCCTTAACAAAAGAAATAAGAGGGTAAATGATCTGGGTTATTGATGCATTTGAAGTTAAAGAGTGACTAGGTCATCTTGTATATAAAACTATGGTGATGCTGAAGCATATTGGACTTCTTTCACAAAGCAATTTGTTGACTAACCTGCTTTTTAGTTGTTACTAACCTATTGGACGAGGCTGATATCATCAACTGCATGCATCGTTTAGTTTTCAAGTAATGAATGTTCAATAGGGTGGCTTTCTTTCCTCTCTTGGAAAATTAATCGGATGTTAATGGATAGAGGAAAAGCTATTCTGGACTAGAGATTCAGTTAAATTTGCTTATAGCTAAAACTTTAAGTTTATGCAATGTTTTTACAGGTAATGAACCTGATTGGTGACGTGAAAGGAAAGGTTGCAGTTATGGTCGATGACATGATTGACACAGCTGGTGGGTTAAGAAATCCAATATCAAGTTCTTACAATATATTCCTGTTAATGGAGTAATTAGACAAATTTATAGAAGTAGCCAGATGAAACTGATGACTTAAAAGAAAACGGTAAACATGATCAGGTATTAAGCTCTAATAATAGGTCATAAGAGAAGGGGGAACTCTTAATTGCTAATGTCAGTAACGTCCATACTCTATGTGGTAAATAATTGCCGTCTATCTTATCCCACTTCCTCAAAGATATCTTGTTTGCTAAATTTTTTACTCTTTTATTTTACCTTTTTCGTTTAGCTCAAAATGATGGTATATTGCAAAATGGTTCTTCTTATGTAACATGTCTTATAAGTTATTTGTGAGTTGTAGGAACTATTACGAAAGGAGCTGAACTGCTCCATCAAGAGGGAGCCCGAGAAGTTTATGCTTGTTGCACCCATGCTGTTTTCAGGTATTTACGTCTTTTTGATGTTCAGTATTTTCCTCCCATACCCTGAATGCTTTTGACTCGTATAGGGATGGGACTAACCATAACTTCTCAAATAATCTTTTCCATTCAATTTTCTTATATCAATTAAAACCACAAAATGCAAATAAATAATTCTGAAGTTGTGTAATATCAATATCTTGATTGAGGGTGAAGATCCCCATGCTTGTCAAATTCATTGAGACTGGCTTTATAACTATTTTATTTGTTTTTTATTTTTTTAAGAATTTTAAATTTAGCTTATAAATATTACTTCATCTATGTTTCTTTGCTTTGTTATCTACTTCTTTTAAATAATTTCAAAATCTAAGCTTAAAAACTTGGTTTTGATTTTGAAATTTGGTCAAGAATTCAAATGTGTTTCACCGAAGAAATTGTAAGGAAGCCAGCATATTTAAAAAACAAAATTATTTTCTAACAAAACCTAAATGAGTGTAACTCCTGAAACTTGTTAGTTTTTGGAGGACCAAAAGATGCAGACCATCAAACATTCCATTGACATATCAAAAGCTTGAACGTTCTAGCTTTTGCTAGCAACTTAAACTGGACTGTATCTCCATATTGCATAAGAATCCGATAGAATTACTTAGTTGACTGTTTGGAATTTTTACCTGTTGGCTGTTTGTAATTGCATAATCATATGTCATCGGTTCACCACTTCAATTTGAGAGTGTTTCTCCATTGCTACTAATAAACTAGTCTTAAGAAGTATTCAGTATGTATAAAACACCTTGTGCAACACTTGACAAAGTTTCTTTCTCCAATTGTGGCCTGCTTTTGCAGCCCCCCTGCCATTGAGAGGTTGTCCAGTGGCTTCTTTCAAGAGGTGATAGTTACAAACACAATTCCAGCCCCTAAAACTCACTTCCCTCAGTTGACAGTCCTCTCAGTCGCCAACTTGATGGGCGAAACCATTTGGCGCGTTCACGATGACTGTTCGGTCAGTAGCATTTTTCAATAAACCCCCCCAACGGAATCACAGAACTTCAGTTACTGCCCCATTTATTTATGGAGGTTATGAAGCCAGCTTATTTTATCCTTGGCATATAGTTAGTTCCCTTCTTCGTGACCCCAAAAAAATGAAACTAAGGCCCTCCCTGACTGAAAGTGTCATGTTTACAAGAGAATAGGTTGCCAATCTTATGGCAGGTTCCATATAATAGATTAGTTAGCTCATGAAATACTGTCTTTCAGAATTGAAAGTGGGTTTTTGGGTGGACCCTAAATCAAGGTTTCTGTCATTCAGCAGCTTCCTTGAATGTATAAATATATCCGAGTCTCATTTTCGTTGTCTTTAATTATAAGCATTTGCAATTTTGAGCCTACATAAGCCTTTTTC